AATAGTAATTTTTTGATGAATGTGTTAAAAAAGAAGAAATTTATTTTAAGTTTATATGTAATAATATTTGATTGAAGAACGTGTAGTTGATAAGAAGAGAGTAAAAAAATGAATTTTAATCTAATGGAGACCAAAAAGGGCTCAGAGACTCGACACTTCCATAATCACTAATAAAAATCGGACACGTGTCATCTCTATTGTCAGCATTGTCATGTTTACTGATAATAAAAAATAACGATTGTTTAGGCCACAAGTAATGATGACCTAAACCACGAACTATGATCTAAATTTCACGATGATTAGAACTAAACGAACTTCCCAACCAATCAAGTCTCTTCAAAATAGGATGGTAGCATTCTAATCGAGGTCAACAAATTGTAACTTGACAAGACAAAACTCACGTTAAAAGATCTACATAAAGGGGCAATGATCCCCGAGCTAAGCATTCCTCTATAATACATTATCAAAATACTTCTTAATGAAAATTTCTCTCTTCTTTACATTATTCCAACAATCATTCTACTAAATCTCATTAAGTGGATATACAATTATCACGTCTATTTAAAATTTCAAATCATCAATAAGAGCAAAATCTCATGTCAATCACTATAATAAGATCAATATCTTAAAGTGAAACTCAAGACTCAATAGAGCTGATTCAGAAAAAGTACGAATTGAATCACATAATGTTAGTGTAACACAAATACATAATTATCAAGAACTAAAAGATTACGAGGCTTTGCTATCGAGATTATGAGATCAAAATATTATTTTAAAGAAATTCAAAAAATTATTGAAGTATATTTATAAACAGTCTATAATGGAACTCTTTCTCACGTTGTTTTGACATTTTTTTCACCGCTGCCCTGCAAAGTCTATTTAAATCCCTAATAAATCCAAACAAATCCAAAGCCGAATGCTACTTCTGGAGTCTACATAGCTTTTCACTTTTGGGACCTAAAATTTTCAAACCATAAAGTCAAAATTTTTCATAAAATAATGACCATTCCTCCACTTTAAAGTATTGTACTTAATTGCACAATTTTCCTATTTTTTATTTTATTTTTTTTAAACTGCCCCATCTTCCTAACATTTTGTTTATTGGCCGCAATTATAATTTTACAGACAGATTCCATCCAAAAATGTGGATCACGTGCCTCGCACATGCCAAATTGACGACTACCAATAAACGATATATTAAGAATGGACTATGCTACTTGTACATAATTTCTTGTACATAAGGGTGTCCACCCTCTCACATGGGGTGGACCCCGCATGATTAAAAATAGATTTGGTAAAAAATGAACTTTTTTGGATCAGGTATGAAATAGGTTCTTATTCTAGTGTCTCATGTGAGAGGGTGGACACCCTTATCTATAAGAAATTATGTACAAGTAGCTTTATCCATTAAGAATATACCAGCCCCCAGGGCACATCTCTAAGCGGTAAAAGCGGAATGTGGAAAAACTTCAACTTTGTTTGAGGCTGCCGCGTCAATGTTCGAATCCTGAAATACGGATTTGACCATTGGGTAAGTGCAAGTGTATACCCTTGGAAGCATAACTTGCAATTTACCTCATTCAACAAGGTCAAGAACATGACAGGTGGGGTCTGTCAAGGATGCGGCTCATCTTTTTTTTATATTAAGAATATACCAGGAAGATAAAAGATCATAAAGACTCGTAAAGGTTGAGACGGTGTGTGCAATTTTTCTTCTGTGTGGCAAAAGTCAAAGGGGGTAATATTGACAATACATAACGAAGAGTCACCAACCTATAAAGAGTAGACATTTATAGGTGGGTCCCAGAAGTAGTTAGAGATTTGAGACTAAACTCTGGTATGTCATTTTCAATTAATAGTTATGGGCTGGAATTGCATGTGGGAATGTGTTTTCAGTAAAATAGCAACTCATGGCGGTTGCTTTTTCTCTACATTGAAGGCCCGTTCGTATGACTTATGCCCTTAGTCTCGCAGCCCATCTACCTTTGGTAAGATAGATTATGGATTGGTTCGGTAGTAATTTTGAAAAGTCAAAAATTACTTTTAAAATTTAAAGAATAATTTTAAAATTTTTTAAATAATTGAAATCGTTTTGACTTATTAAAAGATCTCCTAAAGAAAGTTGACATAATGTAATTTTTTCAAGAAACACTTCTATAAGAAGTAAAAAAAAAAAAGCAAAAATTATGTAAAGTGTACTTTATGCAAAATACGTGTATACAAAATATTCTAATGTGATGTTGCTAATATTTGTAGCCCAATACATCGGCGTGTTTAGTTTGAGACGAACACTATCAATTAAGATTGTTAAGTACGAAAAAGGTTCACACTTTGATGAAAATACTATCATTTTGTAAATGGGTGACAAGCGATGAGAATATACACTTTCTTATTGTATACATAGTATTAAGATTTAATTTCCCACATATTTGTACAGACTTAATTAGAATAATCTACCATACATTTGAAATAATAATTTGATTTCCCTCGTCCAAGGGAGTTTTATGAGAGTCTCCTCTTGTAGATTGACTAAGTTATATGGTGCATTTTCTTCATTCACACATTCTAGAGCTACGCAACTAGATTGGGTAAGGTCAGTTGGTATCCACGTGACTAATTAGGTCTACATATACTTGTCGATGTTTGAAAACTATGATATATGTCTCGTATGGTGCCATTAATTTAGTGTTTAATTACATTAATATCATAATTATCTATATGGATAATTTTAAAGATCGCATGACAGAATTATTATTTTGTTCTTTATGTCTTCTCTAGCCTTAAATATCATTAGTCTTATAGTTTTTGTAACACAACTTTAATGAATATTATCTATATCCTAACTTTGAAAGTAGATAGAAAATTAAAGTCGCGAATGTTTTTTTATTTTATTTTTTTTAAACTGCCCCATCTTCCTAACATTTTGTTTATTGGCCGCAATTATAATTTTACAGACAGATTCCATCCAAAAATGTGGATCACGTGCCTCGCACATACCAAGTCGACGACTACCAATAAACGATATATTAAGAATATACCAACCCCCAGGGCACATCTCCAAGTGGTAAAAACGGAAGGTAGAAAAACTTCAACTTTGCTTGAAACTGTCGCGTCAAGAGTTCAAGTTCTGAAATAAGGATTTGACCATTTGATACTGCAAGTGTACAAGTAGCTTTCCACCCGTACCCTTGGAGGCACAACCTGCAATTTACTTCCTTCACCAAGGTCCATGATATAGCAGGTAGGGACTGTCAAGGATGCGGCTCATCTTTTTTTTATATTAAGAATATACCTGGAAGATAAAAGATCATAAAGACTCATAAAGGTTGAGACGGTGTGTGCAATTTTTCTTGTGTGCGGCAAAAGTCAAAGGTGGTAATATTGACAATACATAACGACGAGTCACCAACCTATAAAGAGTAGACATTTATAGGTGGGTCCCAGAAGTAGTTAGAGATTTGAGACCAAACTTTGGTATGTCATTTTCAATTAATAGTTATGGGCTGGAATTGCATGTGGAAATGTGTTTTCAGTAAAATAGCAACTCATGGCGGTTGCTTTTTCTCTACATCGAAGGCCCGTTCGTATGACTTTTGCCCTTAGTCTCGCAGCCCATCTACCTTTGGTGAGATAGATTATGGATTGGTTCGGTGGTAATTTTGAAAAGTCAAAAATTACTTTTAAAATTTAAAGATTAATTTTTAAATTTTTTAAATGATTGAAAGCGTTTTGTCTTACTAAAAGATCTCTTGGAGAAAGTTGACTTGATCTAACATTTTCACGAAACACTTCTATAAAAAGTAAAAAAAAAAAAAGAAGGCAAAATTTTTGTCAAGTGTACTTTATGCAAAATACTATTTTATCGTGTATACAAAATATTCTAATGTGATGTTGCTAATATTTGTAGTCCAATACATCGACGTGTTTAGTTTGAGACGAACACTATCAATTAAGATCGTTGAAGTACGAAAAAGGTTCACACTTTGATGAAAATACTATCATTTTGTAAATGGGTGACAAGCGATGAGAATATACACTTTCTTATTGTATACACAGTATTAAGATTTAATTTCCCACATATTTGTACAGACTTAATTAGAATAATCTACCATACATTTGAAATAATAATTTGATTTCCCTCGTCCAAGGGAGTTTTATGAGAGTCTCCTCTTGTAGATTGACTAAGTTGTATGGTGCATTTTCTTCATTCACACATTCTAGAGCTAAGCAACTAGATTGGGTAAGGTCAGTTGGTATCCACGTGACTAATTAGGTCTACATATACTTGTCGATGTTTGAAAACTATGATATAGTATGGTACCATTAATTTAGTGTTTAATTACATTAATATCATAATTATCTATATGGATAATCTTCGAGATCGTATGACAGAATTATTATTTTGTTCTTTATGTCTTCTCTAACCTTAAATATCATTAGTCTTATAGTTTTTGTAACACAACTTTAATGAATATTATCTATATCCTAACTTTGAAAGATCTATCTTTTAATTTCAGCGCTTACATGGAAGAAATTATATTATTTGAACCCTAATTCATTGAACACTACACAACAAACTTCGAATTTATGAATTGATCCACACATTCATTCATTCAATTCAAAAAGAACAAACTTCCATCCCCAACCACAAAATTTCATTTTTAACCCCTCACTCACACGCACACAATAATACAAAAAGCATCCCATCATCGCACTACACGACATCGTTTTCGTTCCCCTCCCTCCTCCTCTCTCTGCAGTGTCTTTTTCTACTGTCGGAGTCCCAAAGTTAAAACCTCCATTTCAACACTGTCCGATCTCCTCCACACACATTCTCTCTCTAAAATTCTACACTCCCTCGCTCTACAATCCGCCATTGAAATTTTGTAGAAAAACCCTAAGGTTTGAGAATCAAGATCGGCCCAGCGCTGGCCCGGCCCGCCCGAGTGGTAGTTCGATCGGGCATTGCGACGGGGGCTATTATCGATGGGAAAAGAACGATGAGCAAAGCTGGAGAACGAGAAGAAGACGAAGAGTGTTTTCACGATTCCCTTGACCGCCTGCTTTCTTCATCTAACACCTCTCGCTCCTGTTCCCCCTCCAATTCAGATTCTGAAGAGGATCCGAACCCGAATTTCAGCTCCGGTGCATCACCAGAAAGCAATGCCGTCACACCCGGCCCGGTTCCCAGGTTCCCCGTGGGGATGTTCCGCAACTACGACGTTTGGATCTCCCAACCCTCATCCGTTGAGGAACGTCGACTCCGCCTCCTGCACCAGATGGGTCTCACAAGTGACCCTTCCCTTCTCCGCCACCGCCCTTCCCTTTCGCCCTCCTCTCAACCGAAATTCTTTAATCGTTCCATCTCTTCGGATCACTCGATAAACCCCGGTGAGACGTTTTCTTACGTTGATAATAATAGAAAGTGTTCCAAGACTCCTAGTGATAGTGATATCTTTGATAATAGTGATTGCGATAATGATAATAGTAAAGTATCTGGAATTGTTCGATCAAAATCGGAGGGGGAATGTAACTCAAGTTCTGAAATTGTTTTGACTAATTCAACTTCTACTGCCTCACCAGTCAACGAGGGTACTGGTGGGATTGGTATATCTGTAAACAATGATCATAAGAGCCATATACATAGCTGTCATGACAATGTCAAGAAATCAAGAAACGAAAATAGTTTACCGACGACCAGTGTGGTTTCCCCAAATAAGCCGCCGAAGGGGAAGATTAGAACAGATTCCATGCGTAATGGGAGCTTTAGTGAATCATTGCCTATTTTGGGGAATGAGGAGCTGGACAAGATGGTGGAGAGTACTGGGGCAGATGATGTTAATGCGGTGTGTATGATAAAGAATCTGGATAATGGGAAGGAGTTTGTGGTGAATGAGGTGAGGGAGGATGGGATGTGGAAAAAGATTAAGGAACTGGATACAGGGCGGCAGTTGACCATGGAAGAGTTCTCTGAGATGTGTGTCGGGACTTCTCCCATCGTGCAAGAGTTAATGAGGAGGCAGAATGTGGAGGATGGGAACAAGGATGCTCTGTCTGCAAATGCGAATGGGGGCTTTGGGGGCGGATCTAAGTTGAAGAAGAGAGGGAGCTGGTTGAAGAGCATAAAAAATGTAGCGAGTTCTGTAACAGGGCATAAGGAGAGACGTAGTAGTGATGAGAAGGATACATCATCTGAGAAAGGTGGGAGGAGATCGAGCTCTGCTACAGATGATAGCCAGGATATTTCTTTTCATGGGCCCGAAAGAATTCGGGTCCGACAGTATGGGAAGTCTGTCAAAGAGCTTACGGCAGTATACAAGAGCCAGGAGATACAGGCACACAATGGGTCAATTTGGACTATAAAGTTTAGTTTGGACGGCAAGTATCTTGCAAGTGCTGGTGAGGACTGCGTGATTCACGTGTGGCAGGTTTCGGAAACAGAGAGGAAGGGTGATTTGTTGTTGGATAAACTGGAAGATGGGAATTTTAATCTTCTGTTTCTGGCTAATGGATCACCAGACCCTTCTTCAATATCACCAAAATTAGACAGCCATTCAGAGAAGAGGAGAAGAGGGAGATCGTCAGTAAGCAGAAAATCAGTTAGCTTTGAACAGATTTTGGTGCCAGAGACGATGTTCGCCCTTTCGGAGAAACCCATCTGTTCATTTCAGGGGCATCTGGATGATATATTGAACCTTTCGTGGTCCAAGTCTCAGGTTAGTTTGCGAATTCCTTGAGATCTTTTATTCTGCCCTTCATCAATTTGAGGAACAAGTTGGGGTTTTCCTTATTTTCGATTTATAGTTGGAAATTGAAATTACTTTTATCATTCAAATGATGAATTAATTAAGGATTATTAGACTCTTCAATAATCTGTTCATGCAATGTAGACCATGTAGCCATGTCTTACTATCTGTATAAGAAGGGACGACATGTAGTCGAGCTTATTAATCTTTCGTTATCCCCAAGATTTATCTTGCACTAGTTTAACTGAACAAGTAGTCGTACCCAGGAGTACCGTTTATTTTTGGTATTCAAGTGAATATAGATTGTATGTGATGAAAGTGAAATTTGTAAATTATGTGAGGTACACTTGTGGGAGCCCTGTCTCTTCTTCAACCTCCTGCCCCAACTCAAAGAAAAAACCGAAAAAAGAACTTGACCAGAAATGTACATTTTGTTTGAGTTTAACTGGCCGATGCAGAGATACCAAATGACCTGTGAATATAGTATGCAGGACGCCATGGGAAAAGTATGATAGACATAGCTTCTTGTTTAGCCCCTGCTTGACATCCATTAAATTAAATTTTTTTTTCTCAAACTCATTTTCAACCACACATCCACACAATAAAATATTCTGCACATAAATCCAAAACTTTTTCCTACTTTTAACCACAAATTCTTCAATAAATCACTATTTCAAAGCTCATTTTCCCCCAAAAAAACTCATTTTAATGATGTTAAACAGGGCTTAGTGTTTTGTATCTGATTTAGGTACTGACTGTTCCTCATATTAGTTTGTTTGTACTTAAGATGAAATCAAATGATTTTGAGTAGAAATGTAATGGTTTTGTAACGACCCGGGTCCCACTTAACGGGCTGTCCTGGCCGTTAGATCGACGACGTACTGTCCTCACTGTACCAACATGGGTCTTTTCAGCATGCTTTGTCCTCACTCGCACGCTCCCCGAGAAAACTTCCCAGGGGGGTCACCCATCATAGAATTGCTCCAAGCCAAGCACGCTTAACTGTGGAGTTTCCAACGATGGACTTCCGGAAAAGAAGGTGCACCTTGTTGATATGAGTAGTACCTATCAAATCTCTTAAACTTTCTTGGTCTGGGGTATTACAGGTTTGGACCTAAGTTGAGATTTTAGTCCATTGCAATATAGATTTCCAAGGTTTAATACATAGATGAATCATATTGGAGAAGCTAAATAAATTTCTATGCCTCCTGGAAATCCATAGCAAGGGAAAAGTAAAACAACGGAGCAGGTCTAGATAACTTACTCTCTTTTTATTTTTCAAGTAAAAAATTAACTTTTTTGGAAGCATCTATTACATTATTGTCAGAATAAGTATATTTTTTCTAACTTTGATCAATAAAAAATTATTTTTATTAAAACTTTCCTATTCACGTATAAGTAAACTTTTTAAACGTAACCCGTCCTCTAATCAGGCAGGTTATTTCTATTTCTGAATGTTCTCGAGTTTTTTTGTTCCCTAGTTTCTCTGTCTTATTGAATGCTGAGGATGTGATATGTGCATCTATAGGTAAAAAAAAAAAACTTGTTTTCTTATGCTTGGATTATAATGGCTAAATAATATACAATTTTTTTGTCTTCTCATTCTCAAGAGAACAAATAATTTGGCCTCATTCACAATAAAAAGAAGCCATTAGTTGACGTCCACAATTGCTTGTAAGGCCTCGTGATTCTGTGGAGTTCTCCACACCCCTTGCTTGTCTAGGGATATTTTAGATATTCAAGATTGTTGTTCTCATTGGCTACATTCTTCCATAAGAAATCACTTCCCTCTTTATTTATTTTTCTCTACCAAATTGATTTTGTGCATTTAAGTTCAGCACTTGCAAAGGTTTTGTCAAGATATATGACTTACGCCTTTCTTTTCTCTCCAGCAACTGCTCTCTTCTTCAATGGACAAAACGGTGCGGCTGTGGGACATGTCGAGCAAGTCCTGTTTAAAGATTTTTTCACACAGTGACTATGGTAATTATCGTCGTTCTATATTACTTTTTATTGGAAATTTTTTTATTTTAAATTTTAAAAGGTTTTTCCCACGATGCTTATTTCAACCTTTTTTTTTTTNNGTGTTGGTAGGTAAGCATACTGATCTAAAGGTATTGTCGAGATCATTACCTGACTGGACAAGTTTTTTAAATTTTATTAGTTCTTATGCTATAAAGTTTACTGTTCAAACTTTAATCTATTGAAAAGCATAGAGAGGAGGGGGGCGGGCGGACTGGAGATGGAATCGCCTCTTCTTGGAAATATCCTTTTATGTGATGTGTATAAGTAGCTGCAAATGTACCAATGATATGCCAATTCTTGTGCTTGTGAAGCTGCATGAGAAGTATGGTACCTGTTGGAAGCAAAGGGCAGTTGGGACTTTTTAGCTACTGTTCTTGTTGGCTATATGGTTTCTTTTGGTGACAGTAAGGGACAAGGGAAAGTGGTTTTGGAGGCATTGAGAAGCGTTGACGGATGGAGACTGGAGAAGATAACAAGAGGTGCTGTTTTGCCAATGGGATCCTATAAAATGATTGTTTTGGGGAGTGTTCACAACTGTATTTAAGGGATATAAGATCTTGATAAATCTACAGTAATGTGGTTAAACAAAGAAAAACAAGCTGGAGACAAGCTTAAATATGAGAAGTTGGTTTACAAGGTTGTCTTAGACGTTCAGATTCTGTTTTCTTGAGATGGTCTTAGTTGCTCACTTCAGGATTGAAATAGTTCTTTAATGCTCGGATTAGTATTGTGATTTTCATGCTTATGAATTGTTCATGATGGTTTGCATAATGCCATAGTATCTGTATTTCTTGTGTAAAATTATGCTAATGGGTACTATTCCTTCCCAATATTGGCTCTTTATTCCCTGTATACCTGAATTCTACATAGTTATATTACTTTTGGCACATTACTACTAGTTGAATGAATGTAGTTAAATCTTATTCATCAATTGACTGATTACAATGTCTTCTGGATTTCCCTTGACACAGTAACCTGCATCCAGTTTAATCCTGTTGATGATAGATACTTCATCAGTGGATCTCTGGATGGCAAGGTGCGTATATGGAGCATTCCTGATCGACAGGTTGTTGATTGGAATGATCTGCATGAAATGGTCACTGCAGCTTGCTATACACCGGATGGCCAGGTTTGACATCTGTAATTATTGTAATTACTACTTGATTTATGCTGTCTCAGGAGGTTAGAGCACAAATGTTTTCCTTATGCACATGCTCCAGTTGTTAAAGATATTGTTGTTGATTTTGAAGGGTGCACTAGTTGGTTCATACAAGGGGAGTTGCCGCCTATACAACACAACAGGTTTGAGATTATAACTTCGTGTTAATTATCCTAAAAGAGAGAAACGTTCTGTTCAAGTGTGCACCTTTTATTTACGTGCTTTCATGTTTCCAGAAAATAAATTACAGCAAAAATATCAGATCGATCTGGAGAATAAGAAGAAGAAATCTCATCACAAGAAAATTACTGGGTTCCAGGTAATTAATTCACACATTGCCTTTTCTTATTTTTGAGAAATAAAGTGCACGCAAATCTAGTCTTGCGATTACTGATATTTCTCTTGGAACAGTTTGCACCAGGAAGTTCATCAGAAGTGCTCATTACCTCTGCAGATTCACGAATTCGCGTTGTGGATGGTACTGATCTTGTTCACAAGTTCAAAGGTATGGTACTGATCTTGTTCACAAGTTCATAGGTATGCTACCACACTGCATTACAGTTGCCCAAGTACTTGAAAGTGGGAGAGGATTCTCCTAAATTCTTGAAGTTGGTTAACTACGTTGTTGGTAATTTGTCATGAAACTAGTAACTTCTGAAGGCATTTGAAGTTGCAATGTTATTGTTCTTTTCAACTTTGTTAGGATGTGGTGGTTGCAGTGTATTTCTGGCTACCTCATAAGAATTACTGTTTAGTTTTTCACATCCGAGATCAAGATGCATCGATCATAGGTTCCTCCTTCTATCAGTGACCTGTGGTTTGTTTTGCTGATTTGGATATATTCTATTTTAAATTTAACAACTCAACCCAAGAAGTAAGAAGAGTACGCCGGTGATCATTGAATCTTCTAAAAATGCTCATATTTTTTATCCAGCCCCAGTCTAGAAGTTCTGCTTGTCAGATTATCATTTGCATCTAAACCTGCATTGTCCTATATTTTTTGCTCGTACAGAATGTGAAACCTTATTCAACTTTGATCTAAATCACTTTGTTACTCCATGACCTCTTTTCTGAGGTCTTATTTCGAGTTCGGACACTTGGCACGAGCTTGTTGGTGCTAGTTATCACAACTACATATTATTCATTAAAACCTGATTTATTATTATTATTATTATTATTATTATTATTATTATTATTATTATTATTATTATTATTTTCGTTTTGTTGTTTTTTGGTTAGTTTAATTTTACCTATTCCAGTAGTAACTAGTAACTATTTGAAGCCATTGTTGGGAGGTTAGATATTTTCTTAGATCTCTTCTTTTGACGCTGTGAAAGCATCACTGCCAATAAATTTGGCATAGGGATATCCCCTATTTAGAGTAGGTCACTTTTTTCCCCTAGTTTTTTGATTCTTTAAGCTGCTCATTTGGCTCTTCAGAAGGCTTGGACATGGCAAATGGACATGACATTGTAGCTGAAACATGAAGTACTTTGGTATGAATAAAATGAGGTTGTTTGCAGCATCAACAGTGAAAATTATTGCTCATGCTGAGACATCTGGATTTTTAGTTTTGCTAACACTTTACTATCGGAAATTTATTCGGTGACTGATTAAGGAAAGAGCTAATTATTGGAATAATTTTTTTATGGATAAAATATTCATTAGTTGAATTAGCTCTTGGAGTTGAGTAGAGTGGGATAAGAACTTTTATACGTATCATGATTGCAGCAGAAAGCTTTAATGGAAACCCCCTTTTCTTATTTAGATACCTTGCCTGAGAGTTGAGAAACCCTTTTAGTTCCTTGCTCATAATTCTCTCATGTGAATGGAAACTAATGAATCATTAAATTTTATTTAGCCCCCGTTTGGCACCCGTTCTCATTTTTTGATTTTTCTTCATTTCGACAACATTCTTCCAATACAATAATATTACACATCTGTTTGGCACCCATTCTCTTTCTCATTCTCATTCTCTTTTTTCATTTCAACCACACAATCTCCAAATAAAATAATATTACACACAAATCTAAAACTTTTCATCACTTTTCCACCACACATTCTCCCATTAATCACTATTCCAAAAATTCTATTTTCCAAAAAATGGGTGTCAAACACCCTCTTAGTCTAATTATGGAACCCCACCCCCCACTTTTTTTTTTTATATATTTGAGGGTGAGTTTGGGGGTTTTGTTTGGCAGTATGAACTCTCTCCATTTTGCTAGATTTATTCAGTCATTCTTGGATTTGGGGCAGAGTGAGGGTAATCAGTTTTTTGATAAATTAATCCATGATTTGTGGACGGTACTACACAATAAAATAATGATGGTGATATTTCTTTTTCTACACTGGCATTAGAACATTTGTGTTTAATTTGAAGATTTTCAACACTTGTAGCCACCAACAGATCTTTGCTGAATCTCTGACAGGGTTTCACAACACAAACAGCCAAATCTCAGCCTCCATTATGGCTAATGGAAGATATGTAATATGTGCCAGCGATGATTCTTCTGTTTACATCTGGAAGCATGAAGGTGAATCGCGACCAAATAGAAGCAAAGGCGTTACTGTGACCCAGTCTTATGAGCATTTTCACTGTCAAGATGTATCTGTGGCAATCCCTTGGCCTGGTATTTCCGACACCTGGGGATTTCAAGATACTTGTTCTGGAGGGCAAAATGGTCATTTTGATGAGGTTTCCACAGACAACCATCCACCCACACCAGTCGAAGAGACTAACAGTAACGAGAGCTCTCCGTTGGGATCTAGGAGCATTGGTAGTCCACTGAACAAGATTATTTCTAGTGCTACAAACAGCTGCCTCTTTGATAGAATAGTAACATGGCCAGAGGAAAGGCTTCTTTCTGCTTGTAAGAACCGCAGTCCTCGTGTTAGTGTCGACTTCTCCAATGGGCTTATCCAAAACAGGTCAGCCTGGGGTATGGTCATTGTAACTGCAGGCCTTAGGGGTGAAATCAGGACTTTCCAGAATTTTGGATTGCCAGTTCGGACTTAAGGCTGAAGTAGATGAAATCTGTACAGATATCCGGTGAGAACGTGTAATATAAGTGAGTTTTCTTTGTTTCTTGTGCTTGTGCCGGTTGGATTGGGACTCAGTTGAGGAGCCTTCCTAACTTGGCATTGAGAAAAGGTAGATTTATCAGAATTGAAAAGGACCGAAAAAAAAAGTGAAGGAGATGTTACCCAGAAACCGATTGATTTTCTGTAATCGGCAATTGTAGAGTTACAAGCATGATAATATAAACAAAATTCTTTAGCAATTCATTTAATTTTATCCTGGCTGTGTATACATAAAACTGGGCATGGAACTGGGAGTGAAGTAGTAGTTTCTGTAATAGGCTGGCATTTCAAATTCATGTTCTAGGTGAGTTAAAAACTTGAAAGTGTAAAATCCTCTGTAACAAGATTTTGTGATTCGATATTGTTCACAACAAAAAGATGTGTTGTTGAAGCATTTTCCATTTTTGTTTACATATTAATTCTTAATTACTGTTTATTGGAAAATAATGCTTTCCATTTTTATGTTACAAGTTATACATTCGTGTTCAATTATCGTCAAAGTCGAGTAAAATTACTAGCAGACACACATATCTACAGGCAGAGAGACCAAGTGCCAAATTCTGGGAGAGTTGTAACACAATCCCTGCAATGTCCACACCTAACATTATCCTTTACAAATTTCCCATCTCTGAGCCCATATCTTGCTTTGGGGAATGAACCTAAATATCCATGTCTACCCCACTCGCTGTTGGTTCTACTTAAAATGATAATAAATGCATCAAAAGGAAATCCTAACTACGAAACCTCATTGGTTCCTTTGAGTTGAGGTGGCATGTACTTCCACACAGACTTATCTTATCCATGTTGTGATTTCATATCCAAAAGGGCTGTCAATTTTGTCAAATATCTGTCAACTTCCTAGTATATATATACAACACCACAAGTTTCGAAAGCTCCAGGTTAAATCGAAGAGTATTCCAAGTTCAGAGGTCTGTTTAAGAAAAACCCGACTGACATCTGTGTTTATCAATGGCTCTACAGGCTGCTTCTTTGGCCCCTTCAGCGTTCTCCATTCAAAAAGAGGTTTGTTTCCCATGTTCAGTATTGCCTTATATATTTTTTTAACATTAGTAAATAGCACGCTATGCGGTTTTTTCTTGACTGAATGCTGTGCTTTTAGCAGGGAAAAAGCAGTGCATCTGTTAATTCAGGCCTCTTTGGAGTTTCACTTGCGGACCATGCCAAAACTGACTTTAGTTCCTTTGTATTGAAGAGCAAGGTACATATTCCATCGTTTTATACTTTTCACAGATGAACGAATTTCAAATATTCACGAATATCTCAAGAATCGGCTGATTGGAACTTTTGCAGAAAGAATTCGGTGCAAGAAAGTCATCTGTGGCGGTCAGGGCTCAGGCAGTGGTTACAACTCCAGCCATCAATTCTGACACGGTTCAAGGGAAGAAAACTTTGAGAAAGGGAAATGTAGTGATCACTGGTGCCTCATCTGGCTTAGGTCTAGCCACAGCTAAAGCTCTGGCTGAAACAGGCAAATGGCATGTAATTATGGCCTGCAGAGACTTCCTGAAGGCTGAGAAAGCCGCAAAGTCGGCTGGCATGGCCAAGGAAAGTTACACCATTGTGCATTTGGATCTTGCATCTCTCGACAGTGTCAGGCAGTTTGTGGATAACTTCAAGCGATCCGGGCGACCTCTTGATGTCCTAGTCTGCAATGCAGCTGTTTATCAACCAACTGCTAAACAGCCTTCTTTTACAGCTGATGGATTCGAGCTTAGTGTTGGGACTAACCATCTAGGTCACTTCCTTCTTTCAAGATTGCTGCTTGATGACATGCAGCAGTCCGATTACCCTTCAAAGAGACTGATAATCGTCGGTTCAATTACAGGTAGGAGAAATAATTACACACAGACAAGATCATCTCAAAATGCCGAACACTGCACTAAATTTAATGACTGGTTTCATAAATGAATAGATGGCTTCTATTCAACTGGACCACATTCTTTAAACAGTGACTAGAAGTCTAGAACTAAATTTGGCTTTGCTACTCTCAATATATTTCAGGAAATACAAATACATTGGCCGGGAACGTACCTCCAAAGGCCAACCTTGGCGACTTGAGGGGTCTTGCCGGAGGACTGAACGCGTTAAATAGCTCGGCTATGATTGATGGTGGAGACTTTGACGGTGCCAAGGCATACAAGGATAGCAAGGTCTGCAATATGCTCACAATGCAAGAATTTCACCGTCGCTACCATGAGGATACTGGGATCACATTTTCGTCCCTGTACCCCGGCTGTATTGCAACAACGGGCCTGTTTAGAGAGCACATCCCCTTGTTCCGTCTCCTTTTCCCTCCATTCCAGAAGTTCATCACCAAGGGCTTCGTCTCAGAGGAAGAAGCTGGAAAGAGACTTGCACAGGTATGAAACAGAAGATGCAAATACGAACAAGAACAGACGTAATTCATGTGAAGATATTTGTAATTATGTCTATTTACTCGTTAATTGTTTTTCGCACAGGTTGTAAGTGATCCAAGCCTAACAAAGTCTGGTGTCTACTGGAGCTGGAACAAGGCATCGGCATCATTTGAGAACCAATTGTCTCCAGAAGCGAGTGATGCAGAGAAAGCCCGTAAAATATGGGAACTCTCTGAGAAACTTGTTGGTTTGGCTTAAAATTCAGCCTTGATCATCGTTTAGACTAATCTTTGCCAAGGCAGACGAAGCTCCAGTTCCATGAGGCCTGATTTTTGATTGAGACGCTTGTAGTTGTAAAAATGTTTGACTTGTCAAATTCGAGTAAGAATCTATAATAAAATCACTCAATCTATTTATCTTACCTAGACTGTTAGACATGGACAAAACTTGTGGGTAAAAAACATATATGAGCTCGACTGAATGTGGTTCCTAAAAACAACTGATAAGCTGTGCTATTTGCCTTTTATGATTTTCAAACATTCTCCAGGCATTCGTTTTTTCTTTAGTTACAATGTTACCTTCTGCATTACCTGCTGCACTGCCAAGGGGAAGTAAACTTCAACGAGAACATAAAACCTTAAGAATTTGTCAACTATGAAGACATTAGTACTTTTTTTTTTTGATAACCGTTGATGTGCAGGCTGGCATGCGCACACCTCAACTAGTCCCACGGGACCCTGAAGTTTACGGTATGATACTCACCTCATTGGCCATGGAGGGATTCGAACTGATGACCATTGGGGAGCAAACTCAAGTTTCACAGGTTACCTTTCTTCTTAGCACAGAAAGGGATACTGTGCAGAAGTAGTCTGTTCCACTAGACTACCTTTCGCCTTCTCTCGATTGTTTCGGGGCGAAAGGAAATTTGATTACAATTTAAAGAAAGCTTGCAACGTGAAATTGAAATGCATTGAACATAGCTTGATCATTGATTGCTTGAAAGTTAGAAATGACAATAAACGAAAGCAGGAAATTACAATGGCTAGTGCAAGGACGAACACTAGAAAATTTGAAAGATGTTTGAAAAACTAATACTCCCTATAATAGACTTAACAACAAAAATCCAACTGACGGGAGTAGACGTTTAAAGTCTCTGAAATCATATTAAAATTTTCTAATTTTCCAACTATTTTACAATTGAAATAAAATATTTACAATGTCCGGTCGAAGTTGGGCAAATTGCGGCTGCGATAGGGTCACGGGGCTTAAGTAAAGCTGCGATCCGTACTTTCTATACAAACTTTCTACTTACTGACTAAAAAGAGAGGCTCTAGTACATAAGTGCAACCATCTACTATTTATTACCTTAAGAATTTGTCAACTATGAAGACATTAGTACTTTCTATACAAACTTCTACTTACTGACTAAAAGGAAAGGCTCTAGTACATAAGTGCAACCATCTACTATTTGTTCTTGGTACAAAGAAAACTACAGTTCATATGCCGGAAACCTAGCCTCAGATGGTTCATTCATATCCAGAAACAGATAGGCCATTCCTCCAATGCCTTCAAACAGTGAATATGGGTGATCACCACCATGCATAATGCCCTCTGATATGAGAATTTGAGCCTTGTCATGCAGAAAGCAAGCAAATGCTTTGGCCCTATACAAGAACTTCAAGTTTCCTGTCAATCGGTACAGAGAAAGAAATACATTGGTATTTCCACTGATGCCGTGACAAATTCCAACTCGTTTAAGTAGGCCTCGATTCCAAACAACCTCTCCTGCATCGATAGCTACTTGTAGGAACTCTTTGCTGCCAAAAACCTGATAATATTGAAGAAATAATTTTGAGGAAAACCTTTTTAACTTCCCAGAATATTTTGCTTCAAGAAAAAGAACAGTAAAGATGAGCTATGATTTCAAATGTGTTTAAAAGCACAAAAATGAATTCCTGTGCACCTAAACATTCCACTTGAAAAGATTCAGCATGGGCTCATACAATCACATCTACATTGAGACTAGACAAGCACCCCGTACCCTGGCTACCAGTCTTGCATACCCCTAATGAGAAAAGAAAAAACAAGTACTAAATAAATTAAACAACCTAGGATACACTCCAGCTCATCATTCCATTTTTAGAACTGTTCTGTAATAATTGAATTAGCAAGTAGAAAAAGAATAATTACTGCATTCACATTGGAGTTATGTTGAGGGTGCTTATATATCCTGCAAGCTCTTACGATAGAATCATTTATTGCAGAGTCTTTACTTTTTTTACTTTCCCCTCTTAGGGGGTTATGCATGGAATTTGCAATCAAAGCAATAGACGACAACAATAATTACCTCAGCTGCTTTCACAAGGGTGAGTGCAACACCAGGAGCACCATGGCACCAATGCACAAGACGGTCTGAATCACTTCCTTCACTTGAAGGATAGTTTCCACTGGGAAACCGATTTTTAATCATGTAACATAGGGTGCCCTTGACATCCTCCAGCTCATCTGGTTTCAGATCCATGTCCATTAAAACATACATAATCCCAGCTAGCCCATGGGCAGCTCCCCAGTATTTTTTCCCATGCCATTCATACATCAGTGGACATCTTCCTTTTGCTAATTGTCGACCAGACTTTATGATGTCATCAACAACAGACCTCTGCATAATTTTTAATCCAATCAACCTATGCCTATCTTAAGCTTGCATGACAAAGCCAAAAGGACATTGTAGAATATGACTTACCATTCGTGCAGTAGATATTGTGTCTTTGCCAATATTTTTGTTTAAGAAAGAACATGCCCACAAGAACCCTGCTCTCCCATACAACAGTTCATTTGGAAGATTCTTCGGAAGCTTGATCTTCATTTAAATTTGAAAAATAGTAAGTCAACACAATTATTCAAACAAAAATGAATATATGCAAGGTGAAAGAGCAGCAGTTGTGATGGGGGAATGGAAGCAAATAGGTGTTGTTGCATCACTAAATACCTCTTTGAATTGGGTTAAATATTGGTCACACAATTGTTCATCACCAGCGTGCTTTGCAACTACAGCACCAAGAGCGCATACACCTGCTTCCCCACATATGAAAGTGACACGCCTGCACTTCCAAAAACAAAAGTCAAATAACATTGAGCCACTGGTTTAAGAAGGTAGGTTTGCTATGTTTGACTTAAAAATGGGTGCTGCTGCGTACAACACCCTCACTGGACTAGCAACCAACAACTACCAACCTCCATAAGCCGATCCTTTTACAACGAGAATGAAGCAAACAGAAAAATAATAAATCCTTCCTTCTGAGCTTTGCATTACACAGCATCTAGATAACAAAGTTCCTTTGATTTTAGCCATTTCATATGCTTCCCATAAATCAAATTATCAAACATGAAACTATCAAGACAGTTTTATAAATAATCCAAAGCCCATCAATCTCGAAGACTGCCAAAACAGGATCAAATCCGCATATACACCCCATTCTATTAAATCCAATTATGCACAAGAAAACCCACTTTAGCAAATTTGAAGTACTACCACCAGCTTATAGACGGTTTTATATATATCAAGAATCATATTGAGATACACGTGGAGAGATTTTGGGGGGGGGGGGGGGGGNNGGAGGGGGGGGGGGGGGGGGGGGGGGGGGGGGGGGTGCGAGAGAAATAATTGAGTATACCCAGAGCCTTGGGAAGCAGAGCGACAGGCTCTAATGATCTCAGAGCATCGAGCAAGATCATTCTGGTTTTTAGTAACTTGGTAAGCTTTAAACAATAATAAAGCAGTCCCAAGAGCTCCAGTATACAATGTATAGTCACTCACACGCTTTCCTCTTCCTCCCCATGTCTCCTTGACTATCTGAAGCAAACCAAAAAAAATCCAACACATAAATTTGTGTTTTATAATGCAGAGCAAGGCATTTGGAAAAATGATTAAAAGGGGAAACAAAGGTACAGTTTCTTTGAGGTCCAAAGCTTCTTTCTTGAGCCCTTCAGACAGGGTTTTGTAAGGAAGGTGAAGAAGCCTAGTAAGTGAGTCTTTGGGTACTTCAGAAGACCCAACTGCTGATTCTTTCACCGGAGTTTCTTGAACAAAATCTGGCATGTCGTTGGGGAAGAAACGGTCTGCCATTCTCTTGTACTTTGTGTATAGAGAGATTCTGCGTGTATTAGCGGCGGCGGGGGCGGGGGCGGGGGCGGGGTGGAAAAGTGAAAAGATTCTTCCAGCACACCGGCTTAAGCAAGTAGAAGTAATCAGATATACCATCACTTTAATTGCCATAAATATCCCTTAGTTTTGTTCATATTAACACTTATGCTCCTAACTTTTTCGTCTCTTCTTATCTCGACTTTCTATTAATTCACGCATCATATCTTTTAAAATGATTTTCGTCCAAATAAATCGTTAGGATGACATGAAAAACAAGTTTGCCTCTTGTATTTTAAATAAATAAAATAAGGGCCCGTTTGAACTCAATTTTTTTTTTGCAGAATGGATTTTGGAATAATAAATTGATGGAAAATATGTGTTTAAAAAAATGAAAAATATTTAAATTTACGTGTAATATTATTTTATTGAAAATGTACGTATAAAAAAAAGGGAAAATTGTATTTTAAAAATAATGAATATCAAATAAGTCCTTAAAGTTTGATCCAATTTAATGCATATTAATGAAATATTTATTTACAAATAATCAGACACAATATGTGCTAATTTAGTTAAATGATAAAATCATAAAAATGTGATTAATGTTTTTGATATGTTAAAAATGTAAATTATAGACATTCATTATAATTAAAATGTGATACACGTCAATCATGATACAGAGATATGATACATTTTGAGAATGTTTGTGTTAGAATAAGTAAATTACGGACGTTCATTATAATTAAAAGGTGGTGCACATATAAAAAAAGGGTAATTAGTACAAAATGTCCATACCTTTCAGTATTATTGTGTAAAACATAATTATTTTTCATTTTTTGACATTTTCACCATTATTTCCACATTTTATTGCAGAACTCATCATTTTCATCAATTTTCTCAAGGGAAAAATTCATTTTCCCTACTTTATATTTACCCTATTTCAAAAATAACAAAACAACTTTTACATTTTACAAATCAGAAATTTTGACTTATACATACACATTTATATAAATATTTATTTATACATATAAATAAATAAATAAATA